TATTGCTCAGACCTATTTCTACTCAAAAATTCTTGGAGTCGATGGTTTCTACTCTCGATAGATCCAGATCTATGAATACAGATGATATGGACAAAATGCAAAGTTTTATTTATTTTTAGGTGAGAGCTCTTATGTAAGTCCAGAAAAAAAACTAACCGTTAGAGTGCCTCAAAAGCAGCTCACATACTTTCCATGTGTTTTCCATGATATTGCTTTTATTGCTGCTGAATTTTTCGATGCTCAATATTCTCACTACTCATCATTGGATATTGCTTTGAGACCATTTATCAAAAACATCCGGACAAAAGTCCCATTCTTGAATTTTTCGCCTTGATTTTCTTCAGGTTTATTTTATTTCGAAGGCCCACGCATCTCTCCGAGATGTACAATCGAAAAAAGCTGTTAACGCAATCCCTTGCGGGGTTAAAATGTGAAACACGATATACCCATTGCTACCAATTTCCTGAAAAAAACTCTCCGTTTTCTGCATGTCAGAACGCACTTCTTCACTGCTGCTAAATCTATGGCAGCTAAAGTCGAAATGCAACCACCTGATAAGCTTTTCTGTTAGATACCACATATATAAGATCTCCGATCCTCATTTCGATTCATCTATCAGTGTTGGACCCACCTTATACGGTGTCCGTCGTGAATGCTAATCGCTTCTGGACGAGTCTACCATAGTCTGTGCTGATCCGCGCAGCATGTCTATCATAGCCTGTAGGAAAACGAGGGAGTGGGTGCCAACTTCTTCCATAAACACTTCAACACTCCTTTTAGATCGTGTTTCACAAAAGTTGCAAAACATCTAGTTGAGTGAACTACTCATCAATTTTCAGACAAGTATGAAATTTGTATTCTTAATGATGAACAATAAAATGATTATGGTATTTCGATTGATCCAATCACCAATTAGTGAATTAAGAGATGATTTGAGTATTGAGAAGCTGAATAATGCTGGAGAATAGCGTCTCTGAAAACTTACTCATCATTACTACTAGCTTTTCATATAGTTAAGTGTTCTATTGTTTCAGAAACATAATTATGTTCAATTGATATAGCCAAAAACAATGTTGTGTAACATCAATGAATTTTCAAAATTTCTTGAGAAGTCGAAAAAAGAAAATATCTCTAAGTATTTTCTGACTGTCCAGATACGGCTGATCTCATTCTATCGGTTCAGTTTTAAAAGTTTATCTCTCATCCGTCAGTTGTACGTTCTTTGTGAATTTTCATTTATCGTGAAAAAAGCTGGTAGAATGAGGGTGTGAGTGTAGTTGTGAGTGACTACTGATATGTATGTATAACTGTTATGGATGTGCACGATCGTACTATTAGCTGATTGAAACAATTCGAATATCATTAAAACGCATTACAGGTTTCTCTTTCAAACATGTTTTAGTATTCACTTAGCTATTCAGTCGCTCATCTAAAGCCTGCCCCTGTATTTTCGAGGACTTTAGATTCTCAGGAATAACTGTCTGTAGTAATTATAGTAAACTTTATTGTCAAAGTAGTATTTCTCAACAGACGGTTGGCGCGTAAAGCATATTATCTCCTGAGCTAGCAGTCTGAACAACTTCTTAGGAGACAAAGTTCAAGCGTTGTATAACGACATATCCCTTCTGATTTAGAAACGTATAGCTGCATGCATGTAATAATAATGACTGTTATCGAATCGTACTAGTCGTTTTGTTTGTTTTCTCTTTGACTCTTTCATTCTTCTCTTCCTTTCTCTTTTTTTCTTGAGTCTATATGTGTCGCATGCGGTATGTTTATAGTGTAGAAATAATCAATAGAAAAAAAAATAAGTATGTATATGTAGTTTAGAGATAGATGTACATCAAAAGAAAATTCACACACACCTCCGATAGTTCGCCATGAAACAATTATAGATCTGATGAATAGATCGAAAATAAGATTCTATTGACAGTCGTATGTTTCAACGAACTTTAGGATGGATCAGTTCCTATTGAAAAAAAGGTTGTAATAGTTCTCAACATTAAAAAGAATGTAGAGCTGTCCTAAGTGTACTAAACTATTGTACTGAATTATCACGTTGTTTATTATTAATTCCTAGAAAGATACAAAGAATATCCATATTAGATTATAACTACTGCACACGTAAAACTCACTTGATGAATAAAGATAACTTGGTAGTTACTCAAACTTAATTCGTATAGATCAAATTTTTCACAGATTTGGAGACCTAAAAATAAGACTTACGTCAATCCAATCAAGAAAAGGTACCTTTTTTTTCTTTTATCAGAAATGCTCGCGTTTCTGTTATTATTATGAATGTGAAATAATTTTGAAATTTCACATCACCTTTATACAAACACTTCTTTTCCTACGCATTTATATGAAAAGAATGGAAGAGAATTTATTTTTATAAAAAAAAAAAACAAATTATGAAATGGTGTCCTGCATTTATTTCAATATTGGGTAAAATTTTTGAAGAATCATGAACGATAATTCAATGTTTTCAAAATACATCATGCGCAATAATGAAGAAGTAAGTAGTAAAAATTTGCATGATCTAAACTCTACACTACAAACAGAGTATCGAAAAAAAATGTTGATACAAACAAACACTAAAATTTACGTTTCCGAAAAAAAACTTATTAGTTACCATAGCCTTCGAAGACAAACTAGAGAATAAAAGGTTTTAATTAAATTTAATTAATAGTGCAAGACTTTTATATTTATTAATTACGACTAGATACAATGGTAATTAAAGCTGATTGGAAATAACAAATAAAAATAAATTTTCAAACCTCTGTAAAATACTATGTATTGTCGGATTCTAAACGGAGATGCATTTCAATTATTATATTCCAGTGGAATAGAGTAAAAAACATCATTACATACCTTTTCAATATACTATTCTTGTTAAATAAAAGACACTTTCATGTATACATTACAACCAAACAAGCAAATGTAAAAAGAAATAAAATCTATTCAACAGAAAGAACATTTTTCAAAATTTTCTGATTTCTTCACAAAATTACCGAAAACTTATGCACTACACAACTAATAAATGTAGTAATAAAAATTTTAGCAGTCCGTCTCAACCGATAAAATAACAAATAAAGGCGAAAGACAGTGACATAGCGAGAAAGAAAATATAGCTTCAAAAAGATTTGTCTTTTTCTTTTTTTTCTACGTTTGATTAGTGTTTTATTGCCAAAGTGTAATGCGCATGGAAGTGAAATGAAAAAGAATAATAATACAAAAAAAACCCAGCAACAACAAACTTGGCAAAAATTACGTTTAGAAATTTTCTTTTCTTTCCAATCAGCATCTCACGTTAATGCACGCTGTGCGTCTGAGTGTTGTTCGACAGCTCTGTACACCTATATCCTTTTGATTGAAACTTATGCAGCACGGTTTACACTAAAATAAAAATCGAGGTAGAATTTTTCAAGTTACTTGCATATAGTTCAATTTTTCATTGAAATTTTCTGAAGATTTCAACTCAAAATGATGCCTCGTTCCCAATATATAGACGAAAAAAATTCTAGCATTTTAAGAAATTTCTGGAACTTCGATATATCAGGAAAGAAAAATTATTTGGAGCTGAAACTTTCAGTACACTTGATTTACAAAAATAGAACTATATATAGACAACTCGAGAAGTTCTACTTCGATGTTTTGGTTTATATCACGTGGTATAAATCTCGAT